GTTTTGACTAAGTCCGGGGTCGTATCCTTGGTTGTGATCCTCTTCCTTCTGCTTGTGCTGCTTTCACTAAGATTCATAGCGAACAGAGCCACAAACTTGTCATGCATGGTGCTTCCACTCTACCTACCCAAACATTCACCATGGTTTCTAATAGCGCTCAACCCTGAGTTGGGCACCCCACTTGTGATTACTGTCACAAACCCGATCACACTAATGATAAGTGTTGGAAGCTCCACAGCAAAACCTGCATCCAAACTTTCGGCCAAATCCTCCGTTGTCAAGGGTCTCACTGAGGCATCTGAATCCAACACAGTATAGCCAACCCCTACACGTAACATTCCAGAATCCTCTAATTCTCATTTGATCAAGCTAATTTGATTTAGTCTGCTCTCTTCCAGCTAGTCAACCTCCCAAGTTCGTCAATGTGTCAATCCTATAATACTCACTTTTTTGTCACTCATAGTTCATGGATCATTGATTCAGTTGCCACAGACCACATGACTAGAAGCTCTCAAATCTTCTTGACATACTATCCATGCTTAAGGAAAGATACTGACAAAATTGCTGAAGGTTCCCACAGTTCCATTGCTAGTAAAGAGTCTATTGTTTTAACAGGTCTAACTCTGAAATTTGTGTTACATGCACCTCTATTGAAGTGTAAAATTTTGTCTATCAATAAGTTGACATATGAAATTGATTGGATTACTTATTTTCTCCTAAAGTTTGTCATTTAGGATCGTCATTTGGGAAGAATGATTGCAACTACTAAGCGAGTAGTCATGCTCTACTTCTTCCAAGAGAAAAGAACAGAAGAACGAAGACACTTCACCCAATAGATGTAGTTTATCTCAGTTCACTTAATGTTCTATTACGTTTTTACACTATCGTTTGAGTCATCCCAGTTTCTACTATCTAAAACATTTGTATTTGTGAAATTGAATAACAAAAAGCCTTCTAAATTCAAATGTTAAACCTGTTATTTAGCTAAACATCATCGAGTTTTTTATCCACGCCACATTTACACACCTTCCGCTTCATTGTCACTTGTTCCCAGTGACTTATGGGGACCTTCTCACACTCCCAACTACACCAACAATTACTTTGATTGATGACCACACTCAGAGTGTGATTCTATATTTTAAAAGACAAATCTGAAGTTGCAGTCACCTTCAAAAACTTACACACTTTCATTTTAGCCCAATTCAAAACTCATATTCAAGTCCTTTGGACCGACAATAGTCGTGAATTTTTCAACTCAATATTAGGAGAATTCTTGGTAAGTAAAGGCATCCTACATCATAACTCGTGTACAGACACTCAACAAAGCGGGGTAGCTCAAAGAAAAAAACTCTTCCTTGACATTGTTAGATCCATCATATTTCAATCTAATGTCACAAAACATTTATGGAATGATACTACCGCTATCTACATCATCAATAGAGTTCTCTAAAAAATTCACAACTTTCGATCCCCTTTAGCCGTCTTAAGATCGTGCTTTCTCACCAATCATGCCTTCACTTTAGATCCAAAAAATTTTTGGTGCACGATTTTTGTTCGGAACACTACCCCAACTCGGAGTAAATGTGATCCAAGATCCGTAAAGTGGGTTTTTCTCGAATAATTTGTAACTCAAAAAGGCTATCGATGCTTTGACCATATCACAATTAAAGTCTACGTGAGTATTGATGTCTTCTCTCTTAAAAATGTTCCCTAGTTTCCTAACTTAGACCTCCAATGAGTGGAAGCTAGAGTTCTAGGACACTGTTCCATATGCTACATCTGTGGATGTTCCCCCCACATTGCCTACCACTGGAGCTTTTTGTTCCTTTGGTTCCACCCACTTTAACCACCGAGGAGCCGTCTATCCCTTTAGCTCCACCATCTCATCCTCCCACTCTCCGTATCTACACTCGGCACACTCATTCTGATGCACCTACTCTAGAGCCCGCTACCCCTTTTCAGACCCTAAATCCCCTCCAAGCGGCATCCCCAGCAATACTACTCCAAATGAGAAAGTTAGTTCCTCTAGTAAGGTACGCAATCAGACATGCTCTCTCTATATCATGACAAATTATGTTTCTTTATGCAGTTTATCGCCGACTTACAGAGCAATTGCTACCGCCCTGACCAATCATCAATTCCCATCTACTATTGAGGCTTTCCCAGCAGACCCAACCTGAAAAGCCTTCGACATGGAGGAGATGAATGTCCTTCAGTGGAATCATACTTAGGACATTGTTGATCTTCCTCGGAACCAGAAATCAATGGGATGTCGATAGATTTTTAGCAACAACTTTAACTTAGATGGATCCTTTGATTGCAACAAGACAAGGTTGATCGTCAAAGGACACTCACAAACCTACGAAGTTGACTATGAGACATTTGTTCCAGTTACTAAATTAAACATCATTCGGATCTTATTATCCCTTGAGATGAATCTAGATTAGCACTTATGCCAGTTTGATGTCAAGGATGCATTTCTGAATTGTGATCTTGCAGAGGAGGTATACATGGCCCTTCCTCCAGGCTTTGACACCACTACCTCCCACGGGCAAGTATGTAGGCTGCAAAAGTCCCTCTATGAACTGAAATAATCATAACGGACATGGTTCAGCAAGTTCATAAAGGTGGTGGTAGGACATGGGTTCACTTAGGCTAAAGTGAATCACACTCACTTCTTCTGACATTCCTCCAGTGATCAGTTAGTTATCCTTATCATCTATGTCGATAATCTTGTGCTCACAGGTAATGATATACCAGCATTGGAGTCTCTAAAAGACATTCTTACTACTTCCTTCGAAATGAAGAACTTGGGATCTCTCCAGTATTTCTTAAACATGAAAGTTGTTCGGTCATCCCGGGCAATTTCCTATCTCAACGGAAATATTGATTAACACTTTGACAAAACATCATTCCCCTGTGCAAACCAGTAGCTATCCCGATGGATCCCAATGAAAAACTTTTTGATGTTCCCAATGTGATTCCTGTAAACAAGTCTCACTACTAATGCCTTGTGAGGAAACTAATCTGCATTGGCCATACACGCCTCGACATATACCACGCGGTTGGGATAGTAAGTCAATTTATGCATGTTCCCTATGAGCACTATCTCCAAGCTGTCCACCGGATTCTCCACTATTTGAAGGCACATTGAGCTCAGGTTTGTTTTTTTCCTGCCACATCTCTCGCTCCATTGCAGTATACACATACGTTGACTGGGTCGAATCCGTCCATCATTGATGATCTACATTGTGGTGTTGCTCAATTGTGTAAGAAAACATTGTCACGTAGAAAAGCAAAAAGCAGTCAGTGATTGCCCGGAGAATCTGTAAAACTCTCTAGTTACGCATCATACTCGACGAATTACGTATGACCATCTCCTTCCCTCTACATTTGATCTGTGACAATACTACAACCATTAACATTGCTCATAACTCTGTCCAACATGATCACACCAAGCATGTTGAGATTGACCAACACTTCATTAAAGAAAATCTCGAGTCTGAGAAAGTTTGTGTTCTGTTAGTGTCATCCAGTGACCAGCTGGAGAGTATTCTCATAACGAACCTTTCTCGGTCAATGTTCGATGACTTCAAATCCAATTTGAATATGACTAAGATCCATGCTTCAGCTTGAGGAAGAGTATTAGAATATATATTAATGGCAAGTTATAGTTGTTATTAATTCTTGTTTATTCTGAGTTATTAGCTTTGATTCTTTATTATTCATTTCTTTTTTCTACTATATCATATTTTTATCTCTTTCCTTAGTAGTAGATCCTGTAATGAGTATATGTACCCCTCTTTGTATCAATAAGAATTATCCTAGTTTTATTCTAACAACATTCAATTATTTTAATTCCTTACTTTAGTTCAATTCACTGTTATTTTTGGTTTGAGGCTGAAGTTTTAGCACTGTTTTGAAACCATGATTTTTGTAGTTTTTTATAAAGATGCTGTCTTAAATCTTCTTTAAACACTGAACTAGGACTTTAGATTTTCTATTTTTCCATACTTTATTGTTTCGCTTAATGGATTGAGTTGGTTCAATAGGTTCACTAGTTTCGTTTAAAGCTCATGTGGTCAGCAAGAACTTGTGTTTATCCTATTCCGTAATGTACTATAAATTTGGTGAATTGGATGCCTTAATTGAATAAACTAAAATACCTTGCATTTGCAGCCCATATAATGGTCTATTACATCCAGCGTCATTTTTGATGAGTTCCTTCAATTCCTTTAGCTCGAGGTAATTACATGCTCTCCTGTGATGCCTTTTGACTCTTGTTCTCTGCTTGTCCGTTTTGATCAATGCACTTTAATTTTTTTACAATTAGAGAACCATAAATACATGATAAGTCAAGGCACATAGATTCATTTATTTTTATCAATAAAATTTCATATTCTAATTTTCAATCTTTTGTGTCTTCATTGCATATGGATTTCCTTAAAGTACTTTGCAAAGATGACAGAACTTTTAGGGAGATATACCTCATATCAATGTGAGGTCTAGATTTTCTCAAGTGATCTATCTCTTGACCTCATTTTCTTAAAATTTGTAATTGGTGTTGCAAGAATCCTAATTCCAAACAAATTTGATACAACTAAAACTTAAGGCAAAAAATTTGAATACTCATTGGGCATCCATGGTATAAACTCCTCATTTATCTCCTTCGCTGCATTATCTTATTGGTCTAAAGAAGGCAAAAAAATTGAATATTGAGTGGTCTTTGGTCTGTTAATCCTGATTCCTTCATGTGATTCACATCTATTCCATCACCCTAATTGTATTAGAAATTTAAAACCTTTAAGCGTCCTGTATCAAAAACTCATTTTGTTTTTTGCGCCAAAGAACAAACTCAGTGCAGCATGTAAAGCACATCAAATAAATCGCATTGTAGAAATGAAATACTAGTCAGATGCAATATAATTATTGAAAGCATAATTTACCTAAACATGTGATTTTCTATCAAAAAATAAACAATGTAAGGCTATAATTCTTACATGATTGATCAATAGTTTTGTAAGCATCCGCTGAAGAAAAAAGCCTTCCGCTTATGAGCAATGCTCTTGATCGCAATATAGAATCCACTGCATCATTGCTATCAGAATAAAATAGGTCACAAAAGAAGGAGTGAATTGGTCAGGTTTAGTACTTGTTAGTCCCTTCCTGAAACAAACCTATTTGATGAATACCTGATCATATCAGTTAGAATTTGTAGTAAAGAGGTCTTCAGTAAGAATTTTGTACCATGAGGAGATTGTGCCAACTGTAATGCCAAAAACACATTTTTTTATTTCATTTAAGTCAATTTGACTGCACTACAATGCTTCAAAAATAAATGCTAATACCTAACAACACGTAAGAGAGAGAATTTCAATACAAAAAACAAACAGAGCTAGCCAAAGTAAGCCAATGAAGCCTGTCTAATGATGTCAAAATGTGCAATGCAAAAGGATCACATGTTAAATCAGTTTCAGCAACATACGGTACAGATTTTTTACTTGTATAATTAACGATTAATCTAACATCTTCTTAAACCCACTTCAAGAATAGGAACAAACAATCCAGTAAGAAAATAAAGATGGTCATAGCCCCTATGAACCAAATCATAAGTTGAAGTCTTCATTTCCCCACTTACTCAAGCATAAAGAGAATGTTTGTCTGGAAAGATTATGTTCCATCATTACTACTTCTGTCTTCAGTACATGACAACAAAGCCAATTGGGCTTGCAAGTGCGGAGAACTAGTTATAAAGTTGGAGCATGATATCCTAAAGGTTGAGGTTGCCGGCTAATAATGAGACAAAACAAATACTCTAAGATGTGTAACAATGCTTAATATTTCATTATGGAAGGAACATTGAAAAAATCATAATCAAGTTTTAAATGTAAGATAAATAAAGTTTTTGTAGTGTCATCATCTTCATCATTAGCCTTAGCTTAATTATTTATGGTCGCTATTATAAATTTTCAATTTTTATTTGTTTCTATAGTGTCTAAGATGTTAAACCTATTACTCAAAAATCATTTTAAAACATTTCTATAACCTTAAGAAACATTTTCATCCTAATCCTTGAACATTATTCTAATCAACTTATCAAATAGGTGCATTTTTTACCACTAATTGTATAAATTGAAACTACCCGTGCCAAATATTATCTCCAATAGATGTCACTCCAAATTTTCCACTCAAATAATCATTCCTAATATTACCACTGTAATAGCCCAAACTCTCACCCATTGAAAAATTGTCCGCTTTGAAATGATGGCCTCAAGGTTTTGACCCATTAGTGTAACTTCCCAAGAGGTCAACCCTCCTAGGAGTGCTCTCGCATGAGTACACTTGACATTGGAGTTTCTAATGAAATTCCAACTATTATATCAAAAGGCGTCTCAATGTTTAAGAGTGTACTACATTCTACTTAAGAGGTTTCACAACCACAAATCCATTTAATATCCCTAAACCCTAGAACTCAACATTAAGACGTCTATAACATCACTAAACTAATTATAATTTCATTAAACTTGTAGCATCCATGATACCATTTTATTACACAAATTTTCCAAGGTACTTCCCTATTTACATAAAAACAGCCTTGGAAGTTATATCCTAATCTATATCTCCATTATTTTGAATAAATGATCAAAGATACTTAAACAACACATCTAGATATAATCTTAGCTTTTTTTAATATTAAATGATAATTATTAACATCATACCAATTAAAATAACATACCATACAATCCACCAATGTTCTACTAATTCTTTTGGATCTCTAGCATTTCCTCCTCTGTTCGAATTTATCACTTATTTTGATTGGTTTAGAGATATATCATCTAACAAAAAAACAGGGGCACCTCACTTTGAATATCCAATTTAAACATATCCATAACCAAAAAAATATATATATGGACTTAATGATAACCCTTAATGTAAACCTATGGTAAATGAAAATACTTAGGTCACCCCAACTTTTATCAGTAATCAATGTTCTATAATATATAGTTTTCAAAATGTTAATATATCGTTAGCACAAATAAACTTAAAAGTAGATAAAATCAATTCAGGTGATCTTCATAATATGCCTTTTCAAAATCAATAAAGAATACAAAAGGCTCATTCTTTGTTCCATACACATCTCCATTAAATATCTAAACACAAAAAAAAATTAATACAATAAACAAAATTGGTATTTGAAATTGATGTAATTTTTTAAGCTTATGTTCCATTACTCTCTCTTATAGCTTTCATTGTATGATTCATAAATTTGATTCTCAAATAATTAACAAAACCCTTGCCATCATCATTTTTCTTAAATATTGGAACCAAATACCTCTTCCCCAAACATTTTTATCCTCATAGTCTTCAAAACTCGAACAAAAATATTTGTTAATAAAAGGGATATTATACCCTTTATAATGCTACAAATCACAAGAGATATATCACCTACATTTAATGGAATATCTTTATTAATCTTTTTGAGAGCTAGCTCAACTTTACTTTATTAGACTAATCTATAGCATGCTTCAGTATAACATTTGTTATGTTTTTAAAAATAATTTCTTCCTTCCAGCTCTCAAGATTATCATATCAGCATAAGATGTATATGAAAAAGAAAAATATTATACACGTATTTTTAAAAAATTTACAATAGTCTAATAGGAATGAACCTTAGCATATCATAAACATATCAAGATATGGTACAAAATTAATCTGTAATTATTTTATTTCCTCTCAGTATCACTCTCCAATTACCATATATATGTCAATACCTCTCTCCCTTTGATTTCTGGAATTTTTATTTTTATTTATTGTTGGGCACTATAATTTAGTATACAGGTTCAACAAAAAATGGAGACAGTGATCGTTCCATATCCTTTGCTATATCAACTGTTTCATTCCATTAATGTTATAACTTTGAATAAAATCCATTCTGTAAAGTTGTAACGTGAGCTCTAAAAAATTGCACCAGACTCTTTTGAAGACAGCTGTATATTTCCGAGTTAAATTATTATAATACAGGTTGAAGTTTTAGATAAGAGACAACCTAAAGATTTTGCCTTATTTTATCAGAACATTAAGATTTAGTACAAAATTTCCCATAGCTGCAGTCATCTATAGTTAATTAACACTCTTAGCAACAAGAGAACTTTCGATTAAGAAAAGTTCGACACTAAATCCTTAGCGTACAATCAACGTTGATTTGAATTTCAAATGAAAATATTTATCACCATTAACTTAGAATAAATTATATTGATTTATAACACATAGCTCCGCATAGCGGTGTAAATGAGCCGAGCTTGAGATGTTTACTCATGTTCAACTTGTTCAGATTTTATTTTTTTTTTTTTTGGTTGAAAATCAGGTTGTGTTCAAAAAGGTTCATGAATAACATGTTAACCTTCGAATAGATTCAAATACATTTTATCGTTTTCTATTCATGTTAAATTTAAATTTAACTTAAATGATTTTAAAATTTTTAAAAGCAGCATAAAAAGAATATATTATGGGTATAATATTATTTATTTAATTATTTAATTAATTAGAGTCAAAATGAGCCAAACATGATAGAGTAAAAGTCTAGTCATTTTGGGCATGTTTGTTTACAGAAAAAATTTAAATCAATTAGCTAAAAGAGGACCACTTTAAAATTATGGAAGATGGTAACTAAACATAGCTTAAGACGTATTATAAAGATTTCTCATAATCAGTTTGGATTTATGTTGAGCGGGTCCACTATGGAAGCTATACATTCATTGATACATTTATTGAAAGGTTTAATGGAGAAGTACAGAGAGAATAAAAGGGATCTACATATGATTTTTATTGATTTAGAAAAAGCCTACAGAAAGGTTCAAGAAGAAATGTATTGATATGACTTCTATTCAAATCATTAAAGATAAGTATATTAGAGCTATTACTTGTGTTCAAACAAAACGAGGATTGACCAAATATTTTTCCATTTCAAATGGATTACATTAGGGATCTGCTTCAAGCCCATATATTTTGCTTCAGTTATGAATGCTCTTGCTGGGCATTTACAAAAGGATGAACCTTGGTGTATGCTTTTCGCTGATGATATCCTTCTTTTGGATATGACTAGAGAAGAGCTCATGAAAAACTTGAATTATGTAGGTCTATTTTAGAGTTTAGAAGCCTTCTTTTGAGTAGAACTAAAACTAAAATCATTGAATGTAATTTTACTAATAGTAGCTCTAGTGACAGAGTTGTAACTATGGGAGATCAAATTATTAAAAAGTCTGAATGCTTTAGATATCTCGGGTCTATTTTTCAAAGTAATGGTGATATGTTAGTAGAATTTAAGTAAGTTGGCTGAAGTGGAGGAATGCTTTGGGCCTATTGTGCGATAGAAACGTACCACTTAGACTGAAAAGAAAATTTTATAAGATAGTAGTGAGACCTGCAATGCTCTATGGCGCAGAATGTTGACCTTTAAAAGAGAAGCATAAAACTAAGTTAAGTGTTGCCAAGATGAGAATGCTTATAGGGTGAGTGGCTTTACAGTTAGAGACAAAATGTGAAATGAATATATCTGTGATAGCGTTGGTGTAGCTCCAATGGCGAACAAAATTAGAGATAGTCTTCTTAGATGGTTTGGTCGGATTAGACGTCGGCTATCTAATGATCTGGTTAGGAGAGTAGAAGTTTTAGATTCAACTTATATTAAGAAAGACAGAGGTAGACCTAAAAAGACTTGGGCATATTGTATAAAAAATTTATCTTAATTTATTAGAATTAAAAATATGACGCAATGGAGTAAAAGAATTCATGCAACCAACCCCACTTAGCGGGATAAAGGTTTGTTGTTGTTGTATAGATCAAAGAGGGCCTCGTCTAACTGTATTATATAAATTGCACTCAATAATTTACCTCTCAAAATTTCAGGTATTGGGGAATTTATGGAATCTAACCATGATCACAATTCAATGTTTCCATTTTATAGCAAATCACATACTCTGAGACCCCATCATAAGTGAATTTTCTTACGATGACATTTAACAATAAAATCATATGAATAACAACACCTTCTACCTGAGATCTTTAAGTGTGAACATAAAAACATATTTCTCACCCTCAAGGCAAATGATGAATGGATTATTGCTTAAGTTTATGAGTAGCAATTATCTCTTTTATATTTTAAATTTTATAATATTTTGAATTTTTTTATTTCTTCTAAATTTATACCGAAAACAATTTATACAATATTTGGAGGTATTTTGAAAATAAAATTCTCTCTAGTTGAGATTTACTTTCAATTGACTATCCTCGAGACAATGGAAACATTTTATTCAGTAATGTTGAACTATATCAACTTTGGTTGTTTTCTTGTAAAAGATTAGGTCCATGAATTGCATATAATTTGAATTTTTGTCAAAAATTATTATGTTATATACCTTGTCAATTCTATCTTTGTACATAGAGAATTAAGTATATAGGAAAAAGTCATTATTGTATTTTAAGAGTGTAATGATATTGAAAGTTTTCATTTTGAAACCTTGAAGGTCATACATAAATAGTAACAAAAAAATTTTATGTGATTTACAAAAAGGTGTTTAAATTCCCAATTCGTATGGCGAATTAGTTGCATTAAATTGAGAACATAAATTTAAATATCATTCTTTAATAAAAATATTGTCAACCTCAAGGCTCATAAAGTAGACAATCAAATTTGAAACATGCTCGACAACTCGTGTACATGTCAAGTTTGAACTTAGGGTTCTGAAAAGAAGTTTAAATATTTTAAAATGATTGCATACTTTTTAAAGCAACTTTAAGACTCTCGAAGGCAAATTTATCTCATCTTAGATCACACAGCATTCTCTAATTATATATTCAAGCAATTTGCATGTTTGTTAAAGCATATGCGGATGAATTTGCTTTAACAATTTCAAATACATTAATATAATGTGCTTTCTAAGATTTTCTACACACTTGCAAGATCTTTGGTTCATGGAAATGATAAACAAGCATGAATTTTGATAAATGTACATAATGGACTTGCACGCTTTTCAAGGTATTTTGAAAGTTCTCATAAAGCGCATGAACAACTATTAATGCACTATATTGAGGTAGAGTTCATTTTGTAAGATACTTGCACAACAAAGTGTTGCCACCTAGTTGAGTTTACATTGAGATATGCATGTATCATTTGTAAATCAATCATATCTAACTCGGGCAAATGATTTTTTATTAAAATGTGTGCAAATACTTCTATTTGAGATTTGATATATGCATTTTGGCTGCTTGCATATATATATTTTTTGGATTCAATTGAAATGAGCATAAGGCAGAATATTTTTATGAGCTTCAAGATTTCACCCTTTCAGTTGCATATGTTTCAATTTTAACGAGATGTGTCCTATGACAAAAATTACGAGGCAAAAATTTATTTTTCACCTTTATCTTTTTTTTTAATTCTCTTTCTCCTGCCCTAAGTACTTTTCACCTTTATCTTTTTTTTTAATTCTCTTTCTCTCCTTATCCCATTTTTAAAGAAATTCTAAACCTTATTTTTTTTCTGATTTTCTGCTTTTCTTTTTTCTTTCTTTCTGTGTGTGTGTGTGTGTGTGTGTGTGTGTGTGGAAGGAAAAAGAGAAAACAAGTCGAAGTGAGACTGTACAGAAAGAGAAAGATTTTTAGAAAGGAAAGAAAAAGAACAGTTGGAAGTAGGGTGAGGCTATGAAGAGAGGAAAGTTGCGGTGAAATGAATATTTTTATATGAATTTAATTTTTTTACAGATTATATACATATACATAGACAAGCATGCATGTGTGTGTGTGTGTGTATGTGGCAATTTTGTATGTATCCTAGTGTTGGTGACAGCCCTGCCCTAAGTATAACGGGCCGGTCCAGCCGCCCTGTTGGACCGGTCCCTCCCTTGGCTGAACCGACTGGTTCAACACAAGCAAACCCACGTCAACATATTTGATAAGTGTTAAGGCCATATCAAATTATAGATTAAGAAGTATTTATCAAACTCATTATCAACCATGCAGAAACTGTTTTCTTGATGATTTGCCTTTCTATTACCCTTTATTGAGTGAATGCCTTTAAATGCATACCAATATTGGTTAGAATATGTAATAAATACAAACATGTTTTCAATGTGAATGCTGGCATTTTAGTTATTTTCCATGCCTACGCATGCACGCCCATCCTAATTCTTCTAGCTTTTTCCAGATCATAAGAACCACCATTTCCATTCCTAAGCCTAATATCGGGATGCACGCCTCATTATCTTGAATTATTAAAAACTTTCAAAAATGGAGTTCTTTCTCTATGCTACCTAAAGACAGTAGAAAATGATTTCCTTAGTGCATACAATGCACATCCCACACACAATACTAAAAAGTGACTACAGACACAGCATTAAGAATAATAAATTAATTTTCAGAGAAATACATAAAATCAAAGTGAAACAATGCTATCTATAAAGATTAAACCTTTCAGCCAAGATAAGCAGCCCGATCAGTACCCATGCATTCCACTTAGAACGACAACAAAAACTTTCACAAACAAGGATTATTACAATGATGTGCGTAGTTTGTCAAACGGTAAACAAATGTGAATACAACCAAAAAGACAACATGCACAAATAATCACAATAAAGCCTAGCATAAAGAATTAAACCAGTGAAAAAAAAATTAAAAAAAAAATCCATGCTTCATCACAAACATCTTTTACCTCGAACAAAATTTCCAAAGCAGTCAGAACGGTGAGTGTATCATTTCTTTTATTGATTTCAACTTCATAAAGCTCTAAGAGGTTTGAGTCAAAAATTGCACATGCAATATCCTCAGAAAGAGAGAACAGTTCCGATATCAGAGCCAGAATACGAATACGAGCCTGAAACATTATGTTTTATGTATTAAGGGCAAATATTGAAGTATGGTAAAACTTGGATGAATATACAATGTTTACAGATAAGTAAAATATTCTTAAAAAACGGAGAAACACCCTACGAAAATATTGCAAAAGTAGAGAAAAAGAACCTCATGTAATAGCAAATTTTAACGAAAACTTCTAAAAGTATAAAAATACAAATAAAATATAACCTTACCGTAGAAGAACAGTGACCTGCAATATTTTTCAGTTGCATAGATTCATCACGCCTAGATGGGAAGACAACATGCTATAGCAAGAAAGTAGTTTACTATAAAATAAAATAATGGAAATTTGCATTAATGATGAACAGTTAAAACGTAACAGATAGCTGCAGAGTACGTACAATTCCTTCAGGAGATTTTGCAATGTTCTTTATGGCATTAAGAGAAGCAGCAGAAGTTTGTTCGTTGCTGAAACCAATATATTATCAATTAGGTATGTAAAAAAACCAACAAAATGACTAATATCTTTAAATAAGCAACACAAATCACATCAACTGACAAAAATATGCATTCATTTGTTCTTTCAAAGCCTACTGTAACACCAGAGTGACACAGGGGGTCCCAGAGGCAGCACGGGATAACGTTCCCGCACGAGGGCGCGGCAATCGCGTGCTGGACTGGAGTGGGGCATCTCCAGCTCGACCGGGACGGCGTCTCTAGCTCAGGGCGACTGGGACCTATCTAGAAGCACAGTCTGAGGGCCAGCCGATCTTCCTTACATGGGATTATCGCCTCCTAAGTGGAGTTGTTTCCACTCCTATTTACTCTAGGTCTATATAGGTTGTTGTTGTCGTATTCTAGGTCAGTTTTTTCTGAGTTTTCTATCTGGACAGCCATCGGTGTCACCAAGTTTTTCCTTCTAAGGATGTATCCAAGGGTAAGTTGTGCTCCAACTGCATCTCATTCCGATGTGGTGATTCTCCTCCAAGAGTCAAGTAGTGCTTCAACTCTATCCACTTCTGAGTTGGTATTTATCCTCGACTTTCCTCTCATCAGCACTCTCCCTTTCGACTTGTTGCCTATTTATCCTCGACTTTCCTCTCATCAGCACTCTCCTCCCTTTCGACTTGTTGCTACCTCTCGAGAAATCCCACTTCACACTTTTCATTGCTACCAGCACCCCTAAACCGCTTTCTTCCTCATTGTCCCTGCACAGGATAACACTCCCCTTGTTGTCCTGCTGTCCACAATCCTTCCGCTTTGCTGCCCCTATCCTGCTCTCCACAATGCTTCCTCTTTGCTGCCCCTTGCTGTCCAAGCCCTCCGCTTCGCCATCGTTGTTGTTCCCAACAACCTTTGCCACTTCCAGCAACCTTGCTGTCCAAGCCTTCCACTTCGCCGTCATCACAAATCCAGTCTGTCCTTTGCCATTTCCAGCAATCTCACATCCCATTCCAGCCACCTACCATAACTCCACAACCACCTAGCCAACCCCTACCACCCACGGATCAAACCCTGAAACAAGTTATTGTTGTATTGTTATATTTCTCATTTGAGTGTATGGTTGGTTGTGACTGTGTATTTGGCTTTTTCAATAATATTATTTGTGTTCCTACTATTATTTGGGTTAACTCCAGTATCATTTGCTATCAGAGCTAGTATAACCCTAGTCCTACCATAGAATTACCTAAACCCACCTATATAATAAAAAATTTTCTTATCTCACCCTATGTTAGACCCATAAACTCTGCCCCACTACGTTAAACCCAAGCAAGCTGAAGGACCATACGTTGAATCTTTGTTCCGTTGCGCCCTTGGAAGGCCCAACATCAAATCAATACTGAAATCTACCCAAGGAGCTTTTGGTACTGGTAATGATGTCTATAGATAGCCCTATATTTTGGCTTTGATTCTTGATTAGGTGCAAACTCTGCACTGTTAGATGTACAGCTCCACATCACTCGTTAGTAGGGGTCAGAAAAAGTGTTCCTTCACTAATGCAAGGGTCTTACCTCTGTCAAAGTAGCATGCTAGTCCCCCGCTATGATTCTTCTGGAAGATGGCTTCCCAGAACAATATTTGAGGCACACACAACTTGCTCTAGTGGCCAGATAACCATCATCTCTGTGATATGGCCCTGTGCGTCTCTCCTGATAATGTTCCCAAATCTCCCTTAAATCCTCATTTGCATCGTACAATTCCTTTGCCACCTTGAATCCCAAAATTTTGGCCAGCATGGTGGTATTAGCAAATGGTTGAGCTCAAGGCATTCGCTACCCGATTCTAACTTCCCGCCTTATGCTCAAGCACGAATTGGAACAATGTCAATAACTCAACCCAAGAAAGCATGTATGCCCTTCAGCTTGCTTTGATTGTTCAAGAACCTCAAAGCTCCATGATCCATAAATAGAGTGAACTCGCTCGTCAGCAGGTAATGACTCCAATTATGAAAAGCTCTCATAATGACATACAACTCCTTGCCATATGTTGAGTACTTTCTTTGAAATTTTCTTAACTTCTCACTGAAGAAGGCTATGGAATGTCCTCCTTGGCTCAATGGTGCTCTGATTCCCATGTTAGAAGCATCACACTGCACCTCGAACAACTGACGGTAAAGCTAATACTAAGGCATGTGTCACCTTCTCCTTCAGGGTGTTAAATTTGGATTGGACTACCTCTGTCCACTAAAACTTCTCTTCCTTCAAAACCTCTATAAGGGGAGTTGTGATGGTCTTAAAGCTCCTGAAGAACCGCCTGTAGAAAGACGCTAACCACAAAAATTGTCTCAACACGATAAAGGACTGTGGGCGTGTCCAACTGACGATTTTCTTTCTTTTCGTAGCATACAACGAATATAATGTAACCCAAAAAACGTAGGCGTATAACTTTATCATCATGAAGTAGCACCTAAGATGAAGTAGCCGTAGCATACAACGAATATAATGTAACCCAAAAAACACGTGTCATCATGAAGTAGCACTTCTTCAGGTAGGCGTATAACTTTATCGATCGCAGAAACTCGAAAACGTACCTAAGATGCTGTTAGTGCCCTGAACTGTTGTACATGAACTTTCTAATGTAAACCTGGAACACCTGATTCATCATCCTCATGAATGTGTTAAGTGCATTGGACAACCCAAATGACATAACGGTCCACACGTAAAACCCGTCTCGGATCTTGAAGGAGGTCTTCCATTCATCCCCCAACCTCATTCTGATTTGATGGTATCCCCTGCACAAATCAATCTTGAAAAGGACTACGACTCCATGTAACATATCCAATAGGTCATCTAGACGAGGGATAGGGAACGGAATTTGATGATGATCTTGTTGATAATTCGACTATCGATGCACATCCTCCATGAGCCGTCCTTAGGTACCATCGAAGAGAGAACAGCGCATGGGCCAGTGCTCACTCACTAATCCCCTAGTAAAGATATCCTGCATCTGTCGATGTAACTACTATTACCCCGCTGCGGATCTATTTGGCAACACTGACCTTGTGATAAAATATTTGACATTTTGGATATGTTTAGCGGTAATAAACCCTCTGGTAAGTTGTTGGTCATCGCTTCCTGAAACTTAAGTAACAGTGGCTGAACCATCTTTGTGGATTTGTCTCCTCCTCAGTCCCCTCTAACACAACTAAGGCCAGTACCACTGGGGCTTCACAAACTAGCTGCAAAAAAGTGGTGTGTGGGACCTCGGGCTTATCCCCAACAAGTGTAGTTGCTCCTCCATAATATTTGATGGGAAAGAGAACGATGTGTTTCCCCTCCTTCGTGAACGCATAGATTTTATTGAACTTGCCATCCTGTGTCTTGCAATAGAACTACAACAGTCCCCCAAACACGGATGTGGTAGGCATCAAGGGCAACATTTCACACCACACTTGATCTCCAATGAACAACTCAACTAGACACTGTTGATCCACTCGTGCTAGTTTTCTTTCTTCAACCACGACAAAGAATATGACTTAGAGCGCTTGTGTAGTCAGATCTAAATTTTCACTATGGAAGCAAAGACCACATTCTCACAGCTTCCTTTATCAATGATGAGGCTGCAAACATTTGCCCTCAACGTACAATGGTGTGGAAGATTTTGTGCCTCAATCATGAGTGATCCCTATGTGGTTCTATCTACGTAACTCTTCATACAACTAACATTTCCCCTCCATATCCCTGGAGCTAGTATCTCACCTTGGTCCTTAACAGTTTCTTCATCCCTCACCTACTCCAAGGCATCTAATTGGGTAAAGGACACAACTCGGCTCGTCGTGCAGTTGGCCACATTCACGGCATCGAAAGCATTTTTGGGTTGGAACTATACCGGGCGTGTAGCTCTTCTCAAGCTTTTTCTTACTTTGAATTGTATGGTAAGTACCATGTCTAGTCCTTCTATCTCCACCTAGCGTGCTTCTATTGGGGCCTCCAACTGTAGGGGTTATCTGAATTGAAGTGGGTACCTCTACTGCCTCTATTGTCTCTCCAGCTTAAGTGCTAAGGTTTGCACATACCTCGATGTCAAATAGATTTACAATTGGACCAAGTTATTGATGGTAGGCCTTAGGCCTCCCAAACATCTGGTTATGGAGTGCTCATCTGTTTCTTTGTTTTTTTTTTTTAAGTTCAAATTTCAACTTGAGTTACATAAACATCACCTAAGCATGATACCATTGACTACAATAGAGTCGCATTTTTTTCTTTTTATGTTTGTTAGCCTCATATTTTCCTCATTCCTTTCAACAATTAATGTCATGCTACTTTGCTACGTTGCTACACAATGTAGTTGATGCAATTTTTAGCATAGTTGTTTTGAACATTACAGTTCTTGTTTATTTAATTGAAGGCTGAGTATTGGGGTTCGTATTTTCTGGTTCCTTCCAAAGTTCTTCATAGATTATAAGCTTCATACCTTCCTGAACATTCAGTTCAATTTTCTTAATGAATTTGTAAGGTTAGGCTTGACAACTCTCAAAATACCATTTTGTCTTAACCCAATATCATAACATCATAATAATGTAAGAAATAAATGCACGTGTCATTGTCCCTTCATTTTCTCCCTGGTCATTTTAACGAAACAACATACAATTTTCATATGAAATATATTTAATAGTCTTGTATTTTCCTAAAGCAAGCATCAAGGCCTAAAAAAAGCACCACTAAACAGCCACTAGTACTAGCAGATTAATTTTTGTGGACACTAGAGCATATATATTATTTGAGAAAAAAATTCTTATATAGATTATCTATAAAAAAATACAATATATGCCAAAAGAAACTGAATGCATACGTGCATACCAATTCTTTGTTTTGAGTTTTTGCGAGGGAGGTGGAGAAAGAGAGAGACTGATGCTGAGATAATGTCCTCTCTATTCATGGAGCAACTTATAACTTCCACCAACGCTGACCATGTAAGACTCTAAGCATTTTAAGAAACAGGTAAAACTGACAGGCTCAAGTTTGATTTCAAAAAATTTTAAAAAAAATACTATCCCTCTGCATGATTCGACTAAATTAAGAACTCATCCTCTCCACCTCAAATCCCAATATTAATTCTTCTTAGTGGCATGTTTGCATAAGAAATAGCTTTTATACAATAAAAATACCATCAAAATTATGTCAAATCCATCTTCAAGCTCCTCTGCTACAAATATTACTCGCGGGTAAATCTTCCATTTTTATCTTTCTTTACTCGATCTATGCCCCTGATCTCAATGGGTTTCATAATTATAGGATTGGATCTATATAAAAAATGTTGTTAAAAGAGAATTAGGCAACCTTAAACTCTGAGGTGACATATTCATTAGTGAATTTAACTAGCTGATCTACTGTAACCAAGGGGAAACCAGATCATAAGAGAAAATAAATTTCATAAAAAAAAAGAAAAGTGTAAGAATAAAACAACATGAAAAAAAACAACATAATAGTGATAGTTCGCCAAGATATAAGCTTTCTTTTGTAAAGGAAAGAATTGAGAGCATGCTTATATTTCAAATTTTTAGAAAAATAAGAAACAAAAAGAAACAAAGCACTCAAGGCCAATCAAAAAGCAATAAACAACATTTACAGGAAAATATTTTATTGCAGAATTAGCGCACCCATCCAGGAGGCAGTTTATCAGGAGCGCATATACATTATTTTCAACAAGAATCCTCACAGCAGATGCCTTGTCCTCCATGTTTTCAAGAATGAAAAATATCTGCCATAAGTTCATCAATAGCGTAAGAACATCTATGATCCTCTCATTCAAATGGGTACAGATGCAATAAGTAATTGCCATGAATGACAATGAAGATGGAACGGATGGTGGTAAAGAACATATTACCCTAGGAGTTTTAATAAGTCATTTAAACATGTCTACTAAATAATTTATCAGAAATAATTTATTTAGTAAATTTTGAACCTTAGAATGCAGTGGAACTTGAAAATTCAGCAGCAACAACAACAGCAACGAACATTTATCCCACTAAGTAGGGTTGGCTAACTGAACCCTATTTCTCCATTGTGTCTTGTTGAGTGTCATATTTTCATTTAATTCTAATAAATTAAGATCATTTTTTTATACAATACCTCTGTCTTTCTTAACATAAGTCGAATCTAAAACATCTACTCTCTAAATCGGATTATGAGATGGTCAACGTTTAATGCGACTAAACCATCTAAGACGACTCTCTAATTTTGTCCACAACTGGAGCTACACCAACCGTATCACAGATATGTTCATTTCGCATTTTATCTCTAAGTGTAAAACCACTCATCCACCTAAGCATTCTCACCTCGGCAAAACTTAACTTAGTTTTATGATTCTTTTTTAAAGGCCAACATTCAGCATCATAGAGCATTCCAGGTCTCATCACCATCTTACAAAATTTTCGTTTCAGTCTAAGCGGTAATTTTCTATCACACAATAAACCCGAAGCATTCCTCCACTTCAACCAACAAACTTGAATTCTATTAATAACAACCCCATCTATATCACCATCACTTTGAAAAATCGACTCTAGATATCTAAAGCATTCACCTTTCAAAAATGTTACAACTCTGTCACTAAAACAACTACTACTAAATTAAATTCCAAGTATTCAATTTTAGTTCTACTCAAACGAAGGCCTTTAGTTTTAAACTCTGACCTTCATAATTCAAGTTTTTCCTGAGCCTTTTAAACTCTGACCTTCATAATTCAAGTTTTTCCGGAGCTTTTTCTCTAGTCTTATGCACAAGAAGGATATCATCAACAGAAAGCATATAGCAAGGTAAATCCTTCTGTAAATGCCTAGTAAGAGCATCCATAACGAAAGCAAAAAGATATGGGCTTAAAGTCGATCACTAATGTAATCCAACTAAAATAGCAAAATATTTGGTCAATCCTCCTGTTCAAACACAAGTAACAGCTCTAGTATACATATCTTTAATGACTTAAATATAAGTCATATCAACACTTTTCTTCTTTAGAAACCTCCAAAGGCTATCTCTTGAAACTTTATCATACTCTTTTTCTAAATCAATAAAACTCATATGTAGATCATTCTTATTCTCTCTGAACTTCTTCATCAAACCTCTCAATAAATGTATAGCTTCCATAGTAGACCTACCCAACATAAATCTAAATTGATTATGAGAAATCTTTGTAATGCGTCTTAACCTAAGTTCAATTACCCACTCCCATAATATGAAATTATGACACATCAACTTAATTCCTCTATAACTTATACTCTTGTGCATCCCCTTTATTCTTAAAAATGGGCACCAAAATACTCTTCCTCCTCTCCTCAGGTATCTTTTTAGTTTTTAAAATAATATTAAAGAGTTTAGTAAGCCAAGAAACTCTCAAATTTCCAATATATTTCCACACTACAATTTTGATATCATCAAGTCCTACTAACATTCCACCATGAAACTTTCAAAATTAATTCCTCCAAAATTGTGGTCATCATGAATATTTCTAAAATCTTCTATCACTCTACTGACATGCCTATTTAAATCTCCTCAAATAAAAATTCTTTCTTCAAGAGGTAACATTTGTATTAAGTCTTCTAGGTCATTCCAAAATTTTTCTTTAAAACCAATCTTTACACCTACTTAAGAAACATAAGCACTTATAATATTAAAATTTTAGTATCAATAATAATCTTAAGGGCTATAATGTTATCTCCAGTTCTATTAATTTTTACAATATTATCTTACAAAATCTTATCTATAATTACACCTATACCATTTTTAGCATCTCTTGCCATGATACGAAGGTTTAAAACATAAGTTATCAACCTCCTTAGGCTTTTCTCTGACACATTTAGTTTCTTGAATACATAACAAAATTATCTTTATATGAATCATAATATCAACTAATTTTATTAATTTACATGTAAGAGTACATATATTCCAATACAATTATCTTTATATGAATCATAATATCAACTAATTTACATGTAAGAGTACATATATTCCAATATTCTATCATAATATTAGTTTCATAGACAACTATTTTACATGCATCTGTTCGTAAAGTGGGAAACCCTTGCTTATTTGACACTACATCCGGGCGTCAATGCAGCGGCCCTTACACACTTTTTACTGTAATCAAGTCTCACTGTGTGACGCTTCGAAGGGACACCCTAGCAATTACACAATGATCAAAAGGATTCATGTCATGATTTTTCGACAAATTTTACATTTGTTGTCGACTACCTGACGCAACCCTCCACTTTTTATATCTGGAGCTTGAAAATTCAATGTTTCCTTAAAATAGATTAATTTGAGGAATTACATTATTATTATTCATAGTTGACTAAATCCATAAATGAAATAGTTATTGCCTTTTATGTGGCTCTCTTTGCTAAACTAAGAGCCTATATTGCCTAGAGATTTAGGCATTGAGCTGTTATATTAATATGTAAATGCAGCTCTATCAACTGTTGAATGTCTGGTGCTTTTTCAATATTCAATGTCGCACCACCTTCCTCCAATAATCATATCAGCTTGCGAGCTCAATCTATTTTAAGATGTTTCCATCATTCTATCATTCTGTCGTGACATCTTAAGCTTCCTTTTGAAATTCTAATAGTTATTTTTATTTTTGCTTGTGAGATTATTCGGGTCCTTTCTTGCACCAATCTGTATGCTAAACAACTTTTGGAAATCTTACTTCGTTGTTTGATTTTGTTGCTCTAGTTTATCAACTTATGCACTGCTTTGCCACCAATACTCAAGTTTGCTTGCTCAGTGCTGGTTTTGCTGCTAAAAAATTGTGCTAATGGCTTGTTAATAAGTATAACAGAGATAAGAACATAAAAGTTTAACCGTTAAAGCATAGACGTTCACTCATCATTTATTTGATCATAAGCTTCAGGGCAGTTGGTCATACGCTCAGGGCAAAATGAATTTCCAAGCATCATGATAAGGCGATTGTCCAGGGCATCCTCTATTGAGACTAGTTACCTCTTTCTGTTTATATGACATCTGTTATGGTATAGTATATGTTACCAATGCAGCCAAAAAATGAGGAATATAAGTTAAATTGACGTAAATTTGGTTATCGTCCATTCCAATTCTTTCTATTAGATACTTTACATTAGAATAAATCTCAGATGTTTGTTTATGTTCTAAAGTTATCCTTGGTGATATACAGAAACTTAGGGCCCGTTTGGGGCAGATTATAAGTGCGGGCGGCGTTTTGAAAACGCCGCTATACCGTTTGGTTCGCACTTTTTGATAGATTATTTAAAACTGCGTTTTTTATTTCCTAAAACACGCGGACCGCGGGCTGACCCCCGCGGTCCGCGTTTCGCGATTTTTTTTACCTCATTAACCCCTGTCCGAAGCCGTATCTTCCTCTTCCGCGACCTTGGCCTCTCCCGTTAGCATTTTTCCTTTTTCCTTCCTCTTCCGCGACCTCTCTCCCTGTTCGAAGCCGTATCTTCCTCCTCGCCTTCCCGTCGCAGCCGGATCTTGTCCTCGGTCTC